TGTTATCAGTGAGGTAGATCACACAGCTTAAAACTTAGTTTCCTCTGCATTATAAACAATAGAGAATTCCTGTGATAACCTCACTTTTTGTGTTCTTTTTGTAATGCACATATATAAGGTGTGTAAAGTTTTCATTCAAAGTATAACAATAAAGAATATTTAAATTTAATTCCCTAATATGCATTGTGTTTTGACCAAATATATCAATATGAAACCATATTTTAATTATTGATTCTTTATACTGTTGGCTGAGAGTTTTTGTCATTTCTTCCCCTATACATATATTAGAAACTATTATTCACCATGTAAGTTATCAGAATCAAAACAGTGACCATTCACCATGTAAGTTATCAGAATCAAAACAGTGGTCACTATTTTTTTGCGTGTCTTGTCACTGTTCTGGCAGAAAAGGCCAGAAAGACTTTAAATTTGGTCTATGCAATGTATTTGAAAGTTGCATAATGCATCGGAAACTATCCAGTGGCATGTCTTGTTGAATATAACTGAGCTGAACAGTTCAAATCCATAAATTAATTTAATGCTTGGGTGGGCATACGTGATGACCAAGGCATTTCAAAATGGCTGAATGGTTCAATATTGGAATTTTAATGTCGGTAATTTTTTTTTTTTTTTATAAAAAAGCAGTTAATATTTCTGTATTTACATGATGCTGTTTCATTAATATCCTGATTTATTGTTAGTAAATTTGAAACAAAAATTATTGTGAAATACTGCAATACAATGTTCAAATATATTGTACTGTATGTTATAGCTTATTTTGCATCTCAATTGTTCACTAGTGAAGTAAAATCCTGGTATCAAGTAATCTTCAGTCATTATTCTGTATAGCAAATTCGAAGGATCTCTTAAATGTGTGATCATATCTAGCGGCACTTATTTAAGCATCTGGGAAAAAATTTCAGTGTTTTGGTATGTGTTTTGTTTTAGATGGCTTATGTTTTAATGCAAATTTGTTAGGTGTAAATTTTTATTTTGTGTAAATATTCCTGTTATGTATATCATAATAAAGGAGTGACATATTAATTTTTTATGATTTTAATCCACTCTTATTAATCATTTTCAGTAGGCAACATTCTGCTCTGAGATAGAAAAGAATTAGGTACTTAATGTTCAATCCTTGAGTTGCTTTCAAATTACAGTACACAACGTTTATAAAGATAAAAACTTTTATAAAAGAGTTAATACGTAAGATGCAAGTACAGATTACTTGTACTGTATAGTATAGACTGTGTAGTGTAGTGCTATCAGACAGTCAAGGTGTTGGAAGTTCTTTAAGTAATTGTAATAATATAATGTTTGGGTGCATATGAACCTATGTTAGTCTTTATTTAAAGTTATCATCATCTTTGTCATTTTAAATTTGTCTAGATGTAGTTCATAAGTTTCTCTTATTAACTGCCAAGTGATAGATTGTATCCATCCATGTCATTTTCCAGTATTTACAGTACAGTGCTTGTAACCAAAATGTATTTTACTCACACACTCACTTTAACCATACTTGTTTTGATGATACTCCAATTCCTACTTCTTTCTTTAAAAAATATTTATATGTATACTGTATCATACCTAATGCTATTTAATTTGGGATGCGCCACTAGTGAGAATGAATAAAAGGAGACTATATGAGTTATGTACGTGTATTTGCTATTAATTTTGTCCAGACTGCATTGGAGGGGGAAAAGGCTTGACCAAAAAAATAGAAAACTATTATAAGGGTGAGACTTGGCAGAAAGGATGAAGTAGAATGAGGTGTATTAGACAAGATGAGGACTTGCCAGATGGTGATCTTTGTTAAGTTTCATGAAAGTCTTAGTGTGAGCATGTCTTGCCAGTTGTTCCCATGCTTCAACATGCCTGATAGCAACAGGTCACCAGAGATGTGCCCATTCCCAGGTCTCTGGTGCATTTTCTGGGCTAGGGTCCTGGGTTTGCTGTGATGAGTGGGGGGGGGGTGGTCTGGTTTTACCAAACGCCTACCATCAGGTATTCTTGGCTAACCCACGCAAGTGTGGAAAATGGCCATAAAACAATGATGATGATGATTTAGGATAGAACTATTAAAACTGCAGTTACATGACCACAGGTAAATTGTCTTCAGGGGCAGTACTTAAACTACTGTACAATAGAAGTTGTATTCATTTTTTTTAATTTGTAAACCTTTTTGTAATAATTCACTAAGTATGCATGTTTTATGAGAAATGAGGCAGTAAATGATTTCATTCTCTGTTGGTCTGTCTTCTCTGAGAGCAGTAAGTCTTCATGAAGAAACTTAACTAAAAATAAAGCTTTCCCACAATATTCTTTCATTTTGAATTTTACATTTTCACTACAGTATTGTATACGAGGACTTATCAACAGGGATTTTAATAACTTCAAATTGAGTTTGAGGAATTATATAGTCAGCAAGCCAAGGAGTTGAAACCCCATGACCCTAACTTGTGACTGGGTATTACAAATGAAAATTTTGTCTGTGTACTGACTTGGGGAAAATAGTAATTTGACCAAATTTTGGTACGACTGAGGCAGGTCGTAAGTGCGGGTGGACGTAAGTCGAGTAGGTCGTAAGTCGGGGAGGAGCTGTACATACATACATACATACACAGTCTGTGCGAAAAGTTAGTTTGTCTGCTTAAAAAAAATGCATATTTACTGTTATGTTATATAAATAGTCAAGTAACATTTACCACTTCAATTAATATATATATATATATATATATATATATATATATATATATATATATATATATATATATAAAACAGAATGTAACTTGCATTGCTGGAATCCCTGTAAGATAGTGATTAATTTGAGTATAAACATCACATAGTTTGCACAAGAGAAATTTTTTTTTATTCCTTTAGTGTAGTACAGTACATATGAGTACAAAGTGTTTACAGTAGTATGTTGCTCAAAATCGAGGCTTTTTCACATATAATTTACATTTAACATTTGTTTAATTTAAGTTTCTAGCAGTCCATGGTGCTTTAAAGACACAGGAGGTGTATAATTAGTGGGTCAGAGGTGTATTTTTTAATTACTATTACGTGACCTCGGTTGGTCCGGAAAAACGGATAATCCGGCAAGGCTTTGGAACCAAGGGTACCTATATTGTTTTTACCACGTGATATACAATTTTGTCCTGAGAAACAGCATTGTGCATATTAATATTGCCCTCAATTCTGTTACTTAGCTCCCCCCATACATACCAGTCTACAAAACTATTGGTACAGTAGTATACACCCCAGTCTGCAGTAAAATAAAAAAAATTGGGAACCAGCTCTAAAGCACTAGTATTCTAGTTTTTATTTACCCAGTACCTAAATGTACAAAAAATTCCTGGATACATAGTTTTTTAGGAAGATCCTGTATGAACCATTTTGATAAAAAATGTATTGAGTGATCTATTAAATGTTGTCACTATTAATTTATTACAAAGTCATAGTATTCATAATTGTTGTAGAAATTATTCAATGTTCTACCTGTAAATTTGCATCTAGGGTGAACTTTTCTTTTATAGTTTTCTCAGCAAACAGCAATGTGTTAGAAAAAAATGAAATACAGTACAGGAACTATACTGTAGTAAATTTTATTTTAATGTATAGAAAATATTGTTCAACATATAGGCAGAATGTTTAAGAAAAAATTACAATATATAAAGGAGGAATGTTGTATTTTTTGACATTCAGTCCAACAATAGCTTGAGTATTATGTGTACAGTACAGTGGTCCCTCGGTTAACGAGTTACCTTCCATAAGATTCTTAACTTCGGTTAACGAGCAATCCCTCGATTAACGAGTTTCTTACGAGCCGACCTCCACATGTTTTAGCTTGCATTTGGCGGTCCACCAGCTGTAGTATTAGTCCGCCAATACAGTAATCGGTTCTAGGGCTTAAATTCCTTACCCTTTCAGTAAATATCAAGAAGTTTATACTATTCAATAATTTTAAAAGTTTAATATTAAATTTTTTAGTCATTTTAACAATTATTGAACATGATTGAAGGTAGGGTCACTAGTTTGTGGCACGCCATCCAGCCTGCCAACACAGCATACAGGCTTCAGTCTTTGTGTCTTTTCAGTGGAGGTAACATCTTGCTTGAGACTCTCTTCAACTAAGCACTTTTTTTCTGTGTTTATAAGCAAATTATTGGTCATTTTGAAATTTATTTTACATATTGACAATGCAATGCAGTGCAGTGTTGATTTTAAGAAAATATTCTTGAATTACACCAAGAGAACTAAAATTTTATGGATGAAATGGCGCCATGGGGTGACTTCTCTTCCACCCCAATGCCTTCTCTTCTCCCTTCTCCTCCACCCCCATTCTAATTCCCATCATCATCATCATCATCATCATCATCTAGGAGCCTTCTACATACACACCTCAAAGTAAGTGTACTTGTCTACCTTTTTTGTTGAATTTAGGCAATTTTCAGTGAGCTGGAACCAATTACCCAAAAACCCATTGAAACAATGGTTTCGTTTAACGAGTTTTTCGGTTAACGAGCAACCTTCTAGAACGGATTGTGCTCGTTAACCGAGGGACCACTGTATGGATAGATGTAGGTTGTCTCTATTGTAGTTAGGAAATGTGAGTTCAGTTAAATTGAATATGATGCAGGACTGTACATGTTACAACTACTGTAGTGTAAAAAATAATAATAAAAACCTTCACCACTAGTTTACATACAGTTCAGTACGTACAGTACTCAAAACAGTGGTGGAGAGTGTGGTGAAGTGAATGCTGTACATACAGTATCATCCATGCCAATCATATACAGTAATTATAATGTACTTAATTATGTTCAGTTCATGTGAATCTTCAAAGTACAGGTAAACTTTTTTTAAACGATAAATAGGAAGTAGTAATTAAAATGACTTTGTTTGAAAATCATATAATTTTTCAAATATATGTATTTTATCTGAGTAACAGTTGTCACTGCCTTCATTATGTACCATCAGTAATGGGGTTGACTTGACAGGTTCAGAAAACGAGCTAAGCCAGACACCCCCGGAGCCCCAACAGTGGAGTCCCTCACCAAACGGCAGGAGCTAATTTTAGACAGGTTGTCAGCCCTGCAAGCCAAGGTTGCCAATATTGCAGCTAAAATGGGTGTGAAGTTGGAAGATTCTGACACTGCTGTCACCACTCAACTGGATGGTTAGTACAGTGCTGAGTATAACTAAAAGAATATTTTATGTACAAGTTGTGTAACATGTTTAACTGTACATGTATAATATTTGAAAATGTATTGTGTTACTTATTGAAGTATATCTAAATAGTCT